TCTCTCTCTCTCTCTCTCTCTCTCTCTCTCTCTCAATTCACTTATTACCATGTTTATTAAAATAACCAGTACTGTAATTAAAAACACCTATGCTATTATTAAAAATGTTATACCATAGCCATCACATGCATGTCTGTTAATAAATATTAACTAAACATTATATAACAGCTACAATAAAATAATATAATAAATACCAATAAAAAACTTTTCATATAATAATTTATTACACCATTTATTGCAGAAAATAAAATACTTCACACGAGTGGACAGTTGGCTGTATAATAAACAATACCCCGTTTATACCGGCGCTCAACTGATACCGATAGTACATAAATAAATAAATATATATAAAGTGAGTGCAATAAAAATTATTATTATTATTATTATTGTTAGTATATTTTCTGTCCGGCGCTAACACTGGGTTAAAATGTGATAGATTTTTGCGATCAATATAAAAAAATATAACTTTATATATATTTATTTTGTGGAAATGACATAAAAAATTGAAACTTAAAACAAAAAACTTTATATAACATAACAAATCATTAATCAGACGTTGAAAAATACGGTATTATAACAATTTTGTTTTATTATTTTTGTTGGTAATTCTCTTTTTGTATGTCCACGATTTTTTTTCTTCTTGGTTGTTATGTTTGATAACAAATTCCCGAATACACACAGCATTTCACGCTAGACTAAACTAACCCTGTTCTCCGTCAACTCTCTCTCTCTCTCTCTCTCTCTCTCTCTCTCTCGCAATTCAACCCGTCTTTTGAAATCCACTTTAAAACTTCTATGATTTATTACTTCTGATTTTTATATATATAATTTAACTTTAATTACAATTAATAAAATAAAAAATTTAATGTTTAGTTTATTTTTTATAATATTTACGTAAAACAAATTATTATTTTAAATAAAATATTTAAATCAAGAATTATCAAACATTTGTTAAACATATTGTTTATTATTAAAAAAAACGTATAAAAGATAATAATTGGGCGAAAAGAGACATCATTTACAAGTACTGTAGGATAAGAGGCATTTCGCCAGATATTCTGTTTGACGAATATCTATAAAAACGTTATTTCTATTAATATGATCGGTGTTTGGAAACAATCCAACAAAGTTTTCAATGAAATTAATACATATAACGTTTAATCCGAATATAATTAGATTTTAATATATATTTAATCTTATAATAGCTGTTCATTGAAACCCCGGTTGTAATCAATAGTCATCACATCTATAATTCTAAAATATACTTTTACTGTTGAGCAAGAATTAATTCATTTCAATATAGCTACCATCATCGTAGTTGTAGATATTCTATAGTACGTTAGAGTTATCAAAGTTTTAAATCATTATAACATCATCATTAATTTAATAATCTTTGTATAATTGTTTATAATCTTATCAATAAAAAGTGGATGTACTATTATAACCAATTCAATAGTATAATATAACTATGATATTATTTGATCATGTAACTATAATTAGTATACAGTAACGCATCATACAATTGATTTAAAACATTTATTGTTAAAATATTGCACAATTATATCTTTCCTTAAGTTTTAGACAAGTAATTACTGTTATAAGTTTGAAAAGGTGTTGTAAAAAAGCACAGTACATTTGTATGAATTGAGTGGCGGATCCCAATTAGTATTGGTATATATTTACAGTACAGTAGAAATGAGTAGAGTATACTCTAATTAATATTCACGCAAATTTGGTTTTACTACTTTATTATTTTAAATTTAGTGTTTTATTTGGTTTTATTAACTGAACACAAACTTTACTAAAGTTATATGTTTTCCGAGATTTTAAACGCCGGAGTTGTGGACAAACTTATAGTGATTAACACAAACCTCACAGTAAGATAGTATTCTGGCGATTGGCCCAAACTTGATGTCATTTACTTGTTTTAAATAATAAATTTATCAATTAATTTAAGCGTATCTCACAAAATATCAATTGAATGCAATGTTATGTAAAGCTTTACACTATTTGCCTCTACAACCTGTACTGTATAGTGAGGTTATACTTTAGTAATAGCATTATTAATGCTATCAAAAATAAGTGAGTGTAGAAATGTGTATATTTCTAACTCATACAGTATTCACTATTTACTATTACATTTGAATGGCACTGGAATGACAATCCCTGCTTATGTAACATCACTTCTGATTCATTAGTTAATAAAATACAATGCATTGAATCATTGAATGAGATAATAGGCAATCAAATGCGGGAATGCATTGAATTGAATGGATTCTTGTGTTTGAAAGCATTCACTATTCGTCCCTATATTTGGCGCTCAAAATAATACAAACAAATAGAGTTTGAAATGCGATTCAAATGAATGCCAATTATTAGCCAATGATTAGCCAATTAGTGATTGATTACAACAATTGATTTGTTAAACAAATTTTGTTTATAAAAGTGTTGTAAAGTTTGCTTTAAAAAACCATCAATTAATTGAATGTTAGTATTGATTGAGTCCTTGAATTGAATACAAGTTATGATAAAATAGATTACAATTAGAGATAACAAAAACTCGTCGACAGATAGTTGTCGTCAAACGCTATAACTATTGACTGATTTGTGTTTTTGGCTCTCATTTCGCAGCAAATGGTCTCCCATTTGAGGACAACTTCTTGTGGTAATCATAATATCAGTGAATTGATGGACGAGTCGTCGGTCATCGAAATGAGTCAAAACCGATACGAATCACCGCTTTCTACGAGATATGCGTCCGAAGAGATGAACTTCAACTTCAGTGACTTCAAGAAGTTCTCGATGTGGAGGAAGTTATGGGTGATTCTGGCGAAGGCGCAGAAGGAGTTGGGCATCGAAATCACTGACCAACAGATCCGCGAAATGGAGCAGAACTGCGAGAACATTGACTTCGAGTTCGTGGCCGAAGAGGAGAAGAAGACGCGCCACGACGTGATGGCACATCTCAATGAGTTCGCATCCAAGTGCCCGACGGCCGCGAAGATCATCCACTTGGGGGCCACCAGTTGTTTCGTTGGCGACAATACGGACCTCATTCTCATGAAAGACGCGTTTAATATCATTCTTCCGAAGCTGTGTCGATGTGTGGAGCGATTGAAACGGTTTGCCCAACAGTACAACTATTTGCCGACTCTAGGCTTCACTCACTTCCAACCCGCGAGTATGACTACTGTCGGCAAAAGAGCCACTCTTTGGATCTATGATCTGTTGATCGCATTGAGGAATATGGAGAAAGCGAGAGACAATCTGGCCTTCAGAGGGTGTAAGGGAACCACTGGAACTCAGGCCTCATTCATGCAGATATTCAATGGCGACGAGAATAGAGTGAAACAATTGGATCAATTGGTGACTCAAATGGCCGGCTTTCAAAAGGCATATCCAGTCACTGGACAGACGTATTCACGTCTCGTCGACGCCGAAGTGCTCACGAGTTTGTCTCTATTGGGCGCTGGAGTTCATAAACTCTGCACTGATATCCGTCTTCTGGCCAACAGAAAAGAGATTGAAGAGCCCTTCGAGAGCACACAAATCGGTTCCTCTGCTATGCCTTACAAACGTAATCCAATGCGAAGCGAGCGGTGCTGTTCACTGGCCAGACATCTCATGACTTTAGTGTCCGATGCGCTCAACACGGCTGCAACTCAATGGCTCGAACGCACTCTCGACGACAGCGCCAATCGTCGCATATCTCTTCCCGAAGCCTTCTTAACGGCCGGTATTTTGTCACCAACCATATGTTAATTCATTGATTGTCTTATGAAATATACTTTTTAACAGATATTTTGTTAAACACATTACAAAACGTGACCGAAGGTCTACTCGTATACCCGGCTATTATTAACAAACATATTCGAGAGGTATATCTTGTGAAAGTAATGTTAAAATTTGATTATTAAAGCAATGCATTAAATCTGTCAGGAATTGCCGTTTATGGCCACTGAAAATATAATCGTAGCGATGGTTAAGTCGGGCGGTAATCGTCAGGTTTGTCACGAGAAGATACGAGTGCTCTCACACGAGGCCGCAGAACAGGTCAAAGTGCACGGAAAGAACAACGATTTGATCGATCGCATCAAAAATGAGCCCTATTTTAGACCAGTGAGAGACCAGATCGACCAACAGAAAAGAGATTGAAGAGCCCTTCGAGAGCACACAAATCGGTTCCTCTGCTATGCCTTACAAACGTAATCCAATGCGAAGCGAGCGGTGCTGTTCACTGGCCAGACATCTCATGACTTTAGTTTCCGATGCGCTCAACACGGCTGCAACTCAATGGCTCGAACGCACGCTCGACGACAGCGCCAATCGTCGCATATCTCTTCCCGAAGCCTTCCTAACGGCCGGTATTTTGTCGCCGACTATATGTTAATTCATTGATTGTCTTATGAAATATAATTTTTGACAGATATTTTGTTAAACACATTACAAAACGTGACCGAAGGTCTACTCGTATACCCGGCTATTATTAACAAACATATTCGAGAGGTATATGTTGTGAAAGTAATGTTAAAATTTGATTATTAAAGCCATGCATTAAATCTGTTAGGAATTGCCGTTTATGGCCACTGAAAATATAATCGTAGCGATGGTTAAGTCAGGCGGTAATCGTCAGGTGTGTCACGAGAAGATACGAGTGCTCTCACACGAGGCCGCAGAACAGGTCAAAGTGCACGGAAAGAACAACGATTTGATCGATCGCATCAAAAATGAGCCCTATTTTAGACCAGTGAGAGACCAGATCGACGCTCTAATGGATCCCAAGACGTTCATCGGCAGAGCTCCCAATCAAGTGCTTGAATTCATCGAACAGGAGGTGAATCCAGTATTAGAGCCGTATAAGCAGTACCTCGAGGGCACTTCTCATCTCAATATCTAAATCCGCGCATTATTTGACTTGCATTTCAAATGTCGCCAAATAAATACGAGTCTAATTGAAGTCTAAATTTAGTCCAAATTTTAAGGTTTAGATATATTTTGCACGCAATTATATACAATAGAGTATATTCTGACGGAATGATTATAAACTAGATTTTATATTTTAAAATAAAGAATTGAAAACAATTTATTTTGTTATATGAATTCAATGTGTGTTTAACAGCAAATAAAACAAATTGTATTTCCATTTAATAACGATAACTGAAAAATACTCTAAAAAATTGACATTAAAATTAAATCACAGCGAAATGTCACCGAATTGTTGGTTCCAAATGTGGTACTGTTGTAGTGCACTGTCGGCCACACTCTTTCGGATCCGTTTCAACGACTGCTTGAAGTCGTCGACATTAATGGCACGCATTTTGTTAGGGTTGCAGTGCTTCACCTGATCGATGGCCATCTCCCGAATGGGTCCCAAAGCGGCGTCTTTGGCCAAATTGGTCAGATCACTGCCGCTGTAACCCTCGGTCTCAGCGGCCAATTGTTGCAGTTCTCGTCGAGACAATGGATTGTTTTGTTTACTCATTAATTTCTCTAACAGAATGATTCGCGTCTCGCAATCGGGTAATGATATGTAAATCCTTTTCGAAAATCTCCTATAAATGGACATCAATTTAAATGTCAAACTATTGTTAATGAGATGAAGACAATGAGTGCCGCACCTGAGGGCTGCGTCATCGAGTTCTTGTGGTCTATTAGTGGCGGCCATAACAAGAATCCTGTCCTCATTGGTTGAGTGGATTCCATCAAATTGTATGAAGAATTCAGTCTTAAGCCGACGACTGGCCTCGTGTTCATTCTCTCGCCGTTCGCTCAAAAGTGAGTCGACTTCGTCTTTAAATGCAATTCAATAAATATACCATTTTATTGGTTAATATTATAAACGTATCAATAGTTGCCAAACATTACCGATAAAAATAATGGTTGGTTGGAGTTCTCGGGCCACAGCGAACAGAGCTCTCACCAATTTCTCGCCCTCTCCTAACCATTTGGAGGTCAAACTCGAAGCAGAAATACTCAAAAACTTTGCGTTAGATTCAGTGGCCACTGCTTTAGCCTGAAATGTGTCAAAAATAATAATGAATTTGCAAAATCAATGGAAAGCCATGTAATTATCTTACGAGAAGTGTTTTGCCATTTCCCGGCGGCCCAAAGAGTAGTAACCCTTTGGGCGGAGTTCGCAAACCAGTGAAAAGTTCGGGCCTTATAGTCGGCAATATAACCATTTCATTGAGAGCCTGTTTTGCCACCTCTTGACCGGCAATCGTTTCAAAACTGATTTGACCACAATTTCCGTCATATATTTCATCTAAAATATTTTGCGCCAACTTTTTGTCAACTCCTTTAAAATTAGCGGAAAGTTTAGGCAAAACTGTGTTTGAATTCAATGCAGTCGGAGATGGCTTTACAGCGGAATTAGGTATTGAGTTCGGCCGAGATCTACAATTAGGCGTTGAATTGTTTGATCCAGAATTTGATGACAATTTGGCAGCAGTTGGAGAAATATGCAGATTGTTTAAAATATTGGGTAATTTAGTCGACGGACTATTTCGAGGTTTTGTTGTTTTTAAGCCATTCTTTTGACTCGAAAGTGGTTTTCTCTCATTTGTGTTGCGAATCGAAGAAACTATTAAATAATTTTTACAAATCATTACAATTAAAGCAACAAAAGCAGAAAACATTGAATGCCTCGTCTGACCACTACCTGTGCTTTTATTAATCGGTTTATTTGGTTGAATAGGGATTGGGTTTAAAATTTTCTGACTCTTAAGATGAGTGGAAGGATTCTTATAAGTCTTTGGGCTATTAATGGATCGGCTTTGAGATAATGGCTTTGGAGAGCACTGTTGATCATCTCCTTCCTTATAAAATGGCAAATGAGAGCTCTGGCCGTATATTTTGTTCATGCAATCTGTTTATACCGTAAAAGCATTTTGTTTATCACATGCAGAATATAAGAGACAAAAAGCAATGCAAATATAAAAGTTGTGACAAATGAACAGATAATATATTTAATACCTAAACGCTCTCTCCTCTCGCGAACCATAATTAAGTTGTTTTGCATTTTGTGCTGCAATTTGCGGGCCCTCTGCCCCTCTTCGCCCTCCACTCCCGACAAATCAATACCAATGCCTTCTTCTAACTCTTCAATGCCTTTAGAGTACATCTCAATCACAATCCGCTTTTGTTCTGCAATTGTCAACATTTATAACAATTAAAAAGCATTTCTTAAATATCTATTAAAGTGTATGTCGTTGTCATTGACTATTAATTGCTAATTAATATTATAGAAATTATTGCTAATAATAATCAAAAACACATATAATTAGCAGTATTTCAAGTTTCATATTAAATGCCATTCGTTAACAACGCCTACGCTTTCACTCATTATAATTAAATGAAACAAATGTTTGGTTTTAAACAATTAACAGTAAATCTTGAAATTTAATCCACAAATGATCGCAAAATTGTCTCAAAATGATTAGTGAAATACAAACCGATGTCTCTGTCGTCGATCTTCTCGTCAATCTTCAACGCTTTTGAGATGATATCAAAGGACTTCTTGTGGTGTTGTCTTTGTTTGATGAGTAGATGGATGTCTTGGGTGTCATCGCTGTCCCGATTGTCCATTATTTTAGAGTTAATTAATTTTGACAATTGTTTAATAAATGTGTTAATTATGTGAATAACGAAAACATAAATGCATTTGAGTTTCATTAAAATGATGGCAAACTATAATCATATCATAGATTCAAACATTGATTCACTTTTACACTCAATTCAAGCGCTTCTCAAAGCAGACAATTGTCTCAAACATTAAATACAGACTAAAAGGCATTCACTTGAATACCAATCGATCGCTAAATCAACAAAACATTAGTCAAAACAAATCATTGCATAAACTATTTGATGGCTTCAAAGCTGTGGTCAACGATTGGCTCATTTGCTATACAAAACTATACAGTAGTAGTCACTCAACGCATGCGTCCACACATTCACATAATGTTACGTGAATTTAAAACTAACTTTTTACTAAACTTAAGGTTAGTTTCAAATTACAATCATTTCATACAAATTAATTAAATATTCGTGTATTTTATTATTGAATTGAGTTTTAATTTGCAAACAATAATCAGTCAATTAATAGATATGAATGAGAGTTATGTTCCGAATCTCTTCTTAGCCAATGATTTGGGCAAAAATGAGAAAATCATTTCAGGGGTTAATTCGACGACAATTACTTCATCCAAATTGTCTCCGTTTCCCAGTTTTATAATATGTCGATATTTATCGCATTTACTTGTTTTATAACTATTTGTATCCATTTTAAAGAGATTGTTGTCATCACCGAAGAGGAGGGCATTGTTGGCGAAAGCCATCTGTTTTATAGCCGAATAGTCGTCAATACTTTGATATATTTCGAAAGGAATCGAGTCTTGAATGCTAATAGATTTGACGATTTCCTGGCTTTTGATACAATACTTAAGAAGTTTACGGTTTGGATATGCGATCCAAAGGTCTCCGTCACTACTGAACACATTTATCTTCATAACAGTCGGCAATAAACTGTTCGCAAAATTACAAATCGGTGTCCAATCGTCCACTGAATAAATGGTTACAAGTCTTTTGGGATCAGTTGTACAAATGGCCAAATACTTGTCCGATGCGGTCATTGAATATATTCTTTCTTTGAGATCAATACGAGTCTGAAGGATAACTCCCATAACTTCCAGTTTTAAAATAGAAAGAGTAGTTCCCGAAGCTATGGCCAGAAAGTGTTGGCCACAAAACGCCATATGATTGGGGTTAGCAATGGGTTCGTAAAGAAGCGGCACTTTTTCGACATTAGTTTCATTCCATGTCTTAATTTTGATGTTATCATAGTTTGCATAAGCAATCCATTTGTCATTAAAAGAGGCTTTAATTATAGGTTTTCTGGACTTAATGTCCGCCAACTTTATCGGCCGTTCGGACAGAGGAATGATTTCAATGGTTTCATTAGTTTGCGGCAAAATATCGTCACATTTTCCTAATTTCCAGATTTGAACGTAAGTTTCGTATTGAAGAAAAACAAATCCTTTAATTGTTGTCACTTTTGATGAAAAGTCTGTCAAATGTCTGATTTCAAGATTTGGTGGATAACAGCTCTGTGTTAGGTATGTATCGATACCACCGCTAATAAGCCAATTAGGTTTCACACATACCAGTGCTCTCACATCGTGTGTATGCAATCTTCTTGTAGTGGAATTAGTCCACGAATTGTACTTTGAATTCATAGTACGCGTGAACTTCACTATAACGGGATCCACTCCTGAAGAGTATATATTGGTCTCATCGCTGTCCACACAAACAGAGAGGACATCTGCCTTATGGCTAGAATAGGAGGTAATCAAAGTACCCTTCTTTCCATCCCAAAAGCTGGTCGCACCGCTCGAGTCGCCGCTAATTATCGTCATATCTTTCAGAACGGCTAAACACCAGACGACTGCTCCTGATTTGCCGAGACTTATGTTGTCAATACATCTTCCGGTTTGATAGTTCCAGATCTTAATGTAATCCACAGAACCGGTCACTATTAGCGGTGATGTGTTGTCGACCGGTCGGTGCCATTCAATGCATAAAATCCGGCTATCGTTTCGATCCAACACTTTCTCCAACTCTAAGCCGTCGTCGTCTATACGATAGACACAAATCATGGCGTCTTCAGTGCCGATGGCTATCAATGATTTGCTTGAATCCAAAGACATACACCAAACGGCGCCCGATCTCACAGTATATGACCTTTTGATACAACTATTCTTCAAATCGTATTCATTAATACAGGCGTTGAGTCCACACGAGAAGAGTCTGCCATCGGGTGTCCACACGAGTGCTTCCAGAAGTGATGGATTGTCTGAGTTGTCGGCAATGGTCTGTTCAATGAATGGTGCCTTCGATGACATATTCCAGATGTCGACCAGACTTGTCGTGTCTGACTGTCCGCTCTTGTATTTACGGATCCGACGCCTAATTAGTGCCAACTTTTCGTTGTCTTTATTATAAGAGATGGCATTAATTGATGTCATTTCAGACACAAAGAACCGAATTCTGTGTACTTTTAGTGATAATTGTGTCGACATTTTGATCACACAATTAATGTCTTCATTAAATCAAACAATAATTAATAAAAACTTTTGAAACTCAAATCAATGAACGACTGATCAGTGAACACATGTTTGCAATGCTTTAAAGGGATTGTCTAAACATTTCCACACAATATAAACACTACTTTAAGCCAATGAATGCACTATAACTGCAGTTTGAAAGTTAAGCAAAGTTTAGAAAACAATTTAAAGTTAATTACAGTATATCTATTAATTGATTAATAATTACAACTATTGCATTATTAAATTTGACAATCAATCAAACATTTGTTTGTGTAAAAATTGCACACAATTAGTATCTCAACATACAGTATATTTTAATAAATAGATTTATGTTTTACAATAAGTATCACTCGTTTCATTGAAACAAATGTTAAAACAGTTTCAACAATCTATAAAAATATGATTTTACAGTATAGTTAAGAGTTTGTTATTTGATTTTCGGTGACAAACATATGTATAGGAGTTGAGGATCGAAGCATTTGTGTGGCCTTATTGTGGCCAACAATAGCCGACAACTGGAAGGCATCGAATTTATTGTATATTGTGGTACAAGACATCTCACTATAATCGCCGGCAAACTTCTTTCCCTGCATTGAAATGTGCATAAAGTTTAAGAGTTCGCTATAAAAGTGTGGATAATTGGGTGTCTCGTAGAATATCAGGTGACGAATGCCTTTGATTTTGTAGCGCCGGTAGAAGTGGAAGCGTTCGGTGTATAACATGAAATGTCGGCCACCGTTGAAGAACATACTCCTGGCTTTGGCCACTTTGCCGTCGGCCGTGTATTCGCACACTTGTGTAAAATTTATCTCTTCTTTGCGGAAGTAATTCCTAATCCGCACGAAATCGAAATACGATTGAATAAAAATCATTGTCCGTCCCATCAGTTTTGAGCGAAATTTGGGCAAAATTGTCGAAACAAAGAACTCAAACCTTTGGTTAGAACTGGCGGCCAATGAACTGCATTCAAACCGATGAAACATTTGTGGACACGGAATGTAAACACTACTGACCGCTGCTTTCATTGAGTTTATTTCCATTTTTGTCATAATTTTGCCGAAATAATTGTTGGAGTGTTTGTTGAATAACGCGGTTATCATCGGAACAGTTATAGACGAGAAGACTAAGAATTGTTTGTAATATTGAGTCCAACCCTCGAGAGCCCACATTCGCACTCTTGAGAAATCAACGTTACGGCTCTGAGTAGGCGTTAAGTGCAAATGTTTCATAATGTGGAGCACGTGTTCCCAGTTTTGCATCAAAAACACGTCCGTTTGGTCCATAATTACCATTTCTATCGATGACAAGAAGTCGAAGTCTCTTTCGGCGTCGCCTTCGGAGCCAATGATAAGTCTGAGTCCGAGAGGCGAACAGATTATTATATCCGCCGAATAGAAATCTGCGTAAAGTTTTAGACTTTTTTTAGTAATCGAAAGACCGATACGGAAAGAGTCGTCAAAATTTCCGGTAAACATTGATTCGTAGTCTTCGGGCTTTTTATGAAGTGTGGGCTCTTCGGTGTCGGGACTAAACTCTTCGAAAAATCGCTTTCCATTCATTACATTTGCCTTTTTCTCTGATTTGTCTTTAATGTCTCCAAACATAAGACTAATCAGAATTTTGACAATCCTTAGGACACTGTCTCTAAAGGGCACTAAAATCAATACTTTAGGTCGTGTTAAGCCCTGATCTCTATATTCTTCGTCTGATGAGACGTGTCGACCAATCTTGTAGTTGTGGTGAAGTATTCGCGATCTAGTCTTCAAAATGTGATTCAATGCATGCATACTATATAATAGGCGAATGTGTTCTCCGTTTTCTGCATTTCTTTCGGTAAACAATAAGTCTTTATATTTACTAATAATAGACAACAATTCGTATTGAAATGGATTCAATTCAAGTGATGTTTGTTTAGCATCCGAAGTAATAACAGCTTTACATAAGTTTTCAATAATTATATTTTTGAGATAAAATTGTTGAACACTTTGTTTCAAAACAATTGAATCGCAAACATATATATCGTTGTCGTTATTAATTTCAACCAATTTCTTCATTTCAGTCCATTCGTGATCTTTAATATTCTTCTTCGGATTATCACTCAAATACTTGATATCTTTTGCATCCAATTCTCTGTCAAAATGTGTGACAAACGGATCGTTCGGACACTCCTTCTCCTCTTCTAATATCTCTTCGTATGTCTGAAAAGATGTTAAAAGAATCACATATTGATTGTCAACTAAATTAACCATTCATTACGAGTTTGTCTTCATTAGTGGACTCTTGCGTCACAGCAATCGCCAAATCAGTCAAATTGTGGTCCATTTCTTGGGCTTTCCTTTTGACGGCTGTGTTTGCCATCACTTCCGACTCATTTGAATCCATTTTCACAATCAATTCAATCAATGATTAAAACAATTAGATGTGAATTGAATTGAGAAATGGGTTTACATGTGATTCACGTGTTTCTCACAAATGTTGTCACAAATGAAATGACAATAAATAGAGAGTTGTATTGAATGCCATCTTTTGGGCACATTTGGTGACCACTGCTCTCAACACAACCTTTATATGTGATGATAGAGTGACCACATTATCCGCATTTCATTAGACATTCAATAATTAGTGGATTAATGAGATTAAGGACACAATCAATGGCACAAAACATGATTAAAACAATAATAAATGAGATGACAAACAATGCATAGGAATGAGTGGCAGTGAGTGGGGAGTAGTGTCGGGGAGAGTGAGTGAGTGTTGTGTGAGTTGTCAACCGTAGAGAGTGTTATGTATTGTAGTAGGGTTGAAAATTCCTACTGGGAATTGTTCCCAAAGGAATGTTCCTAGGAATATTCCCTGGGAAAATTGGGAATATATATTTATTCCCTTTG